CCACAATAATGTAAAGAGAAGGAGGTGTATCACAAGTAAGAGTGCTCCTGCTGGCAGCCTGTAGGACTCTCTCCAACCTGTCCCTTTCCTGTGCCAAGTCATGTGAGTCATGCTTCATGAGAGTGGAAAATTTTGTCGAAATTCAATGCACACAGCAAAATAAAGAGCACTGAAGTATTCTGGATTAAATATTAATAATATTGAACTATTGAAATTAATTGTTTTGGTATTTCTTATTTCAGAGCATCCTGTACCAGAATTTAATGAAATGCACAATATAAAAAAATTGAAATGGAACCAAGTGTATCAATGTAATTACAAATATTCTTCATCTTCATCTTCAGAGGAAAGGCTAACTTATACAATTTCTCAAAGTGAGGTAAGGTCAACAATTCTGTCTGGAATCCCAGCTCTCTGACATCACCAGCTCCTGAAGTCACAGTGAGTTGAGAGAAATGAAAATTCTGGCAGTTTGATGGCATTGCTGAGTAGGATTTCCTCTTGTGACTTGCCTTCCTTAGAGGATATAGAGGGTTCACACCCTTTTAAATGCTGCCTTCCTATTCATGTTCTAGATTTTTGTTTTCTCCCTTGAGAGCTGGCATCTATAGTTACTACTGAAACAAACTCCCTGCAGTAGTAGAAAGTTAGTATAAAGTTAATATAAAGGATGAAACTTCAAGAGGAGGCCTTAAGCTCCTTCTTCATATTTCCTGTTTTCCTTTACCCTGAAGATGGCTCTGCACCTTCTAGTTAGAAGTTGAGAGCACACAGAAACAAAAGGTCCTGAAAGATGAAAGTTACACTGAATGGGGATGACTGGAGGCTTAGTTATGGTTTCTGAATAGTTTTTATGTCATAATTATACTCCATTACTTACATCATTACAGTGCTGCCTACACATGCCAGTTCAGAAATCAAAATCCTGCATTATGGTTGGTACTGCCTCAGCATATGCAAGTGAGTTTCTGCTCCACATACTAGTTTAGTTCAGAAGAAAAGAATCAAGCAGAGGTTTTGTGATGGTAGCATGCAAATACTAGAACTCTCATGCTATTCTGAACTCAAATGTCCAAAACCAAAAGCACCTTGTGCACTTCAAGAATGGCCAGAAAACAGGTGTGAACTGAGAATATCTGTAATGGTCCAGAGAAAATGACTCAGTATGTATCCACAATAGAGAATAAGAAAAAAAATAATGTAAGACACTAAAAATTTTTATTCTGATACTAGTTACAGATAATGTTACAGGACATTGTCTTTATTTAAGTAACATGTCATACTTTCCCATGTTTCCTTCCCTATTATTGTTTACTGTCTACATATTACAGATGTCAATGTCTTGATGCTTTTTATGCTGATCAATAAATTACAGGAAGTTCCTCTCTGATGACCCACAGTGTACACAGTAACAGTGTTATGCCACACTTCAGAAATATACAGAGTCACCGAAAAAACCTGTAAGAGTCAAAAGTGGCTGTGAGGCTGTGGCTTACATGCTATCCTACTCTGTTTTGATGTACCAAGGGTTCCTATCACAGAAGCAAAGAAAAAGCAGAATGACACTTACCATCAACTGCCTGAACTTACAGTTTAGTCATGGAAATCAGAAACATTATTCTAGTCCATTCTAGTATTCAGCACAGAATATTCTATTCTCTACCATTTTCTGTGGTAGAGGTGTAGCAAAGCTCAGCTCTGTTCCCTCACAGCTGAGCTCAGGAAGCCCTCTCCTACTTGCACATTCAGCCATAACCTTGAAAGATATACTGAGAAGGCAAATCAAAATGTTCCCCACCCAGGGCAGGAAAAAGAAAATTCCTAACAAACCATTTCCCAACCCTTTCCTCAGAGTCTACTTCCAAATCCCATATTCATATATAAGATATGCCAATTCAAAGAGCAAAGCACCAAATTCCCTCATCTGCCCTTCCTGCCTAAGGATCAGGAAGGAAAGGGGAACACCCTTCTTCTGATAACCTCAGCCCCAGAGGCTGCTTGTTTGCCCAACACCTTTAACTTGGCTGTAATGTGACCCAGAGCACGCCAACTATTCACTGTACAGACCCTGGCTCACATCCTGAGCATGAAAATGAAGGCATGAACACCACCTAGGAGGTTTTTGCTTAATCATTCAGCTATGCAGACACAGGATCCTTACAAGCAAACCACTCTGGACAGAAGAAGAATACTTATTCTGGAAGAAAAAGGATTCTTAATACTCTTTTCTAAAAACACAATTAGAGATGTTTCCTCTAGAAAAATCAACCTTCTTGTCTCAAACTGGAATTTAATATTGTCATTTTTATTTTTTGAATGAATTTGTGTGGTCAAGCTATAGTTTTGAAAGGAAACCTAATCCATATAAAGCTAGGAAAAATGTGAAATATAATCTAAGAATGTGTTCCAGAGCAAAGACTAGATCAATAGAGAGATCCTCCAGGACAGAAAAAGCAGCTCAATTTGATTCATTATGTACAAACTAAACAAGATATCCCTGGAAGCAATGGAGACCTGCTCAGTTGGCTCCAGTTTCAGATGGCTAGCACGCCTCCTGCTTCATTGATATTTCATATACAATAATGCATTTAAGAAGAAAATGAAACTGTGCCTGACAAAAAAAAAAAAAAAAAAAAAAGAAGAAGGCATGAAAACAAATCTTTTAAATCATATGGAACTAATCGGTTGGAAGAGAGGGTTGCCTTTAAAAGACTTTTGAAAAATTCACTTTCTCTTCCAAACTCTTTTAGGGTTTTACACAAACCTCTCTTCACTTGAAAATAAAACGGGTTCCATTCTGGTAATGTTTCTCCACGATCATTAAAAGTCACAGGAACTGCGAGTGGAGCAGATTTTTGTCCCTCTGATAACTCCTTCCCCAACCTCCTATCTCCAGGGTGTGGAGTGCCCTGGGAACCAGCAAGCGAGAAGGGGCAGGTGGGACTGCAGAGGGGCAGGAGGGATCAGAGGAGGGATCAGAGGTGGGATCAGAGGTGGGATCAGAGGAGGGATCAGAGGTGGGATCAGAGGAGGGACCAGAGGAGGGACCAGAGGAGGGGTCAGAGGAGGGGTAACTTGTGAGAGAAACACCCCTGGGAGGTGGGGCTGAGGTGGAGAGGGTCTGGGGTACCAGGAGGGGGAATGTCCTTGGGGAGGAAGGGGTTGAGAAGGGAAGGGGAGAAGAAGAAGTTGTCGGAAGAAGCAGCAGGAGTTGGGTGTTTCACCATGTGCTCATCACCGTTTTGTAGCCCCTGGGTACCTGGTGGAGCACCGGGGAAGGGGCCAGCTATGCGTTCTCCTTCATTTTGTGCACTCCAAGGACTACTAGGAGGGAAGGGAGGGCTTTAATGGGTATAAGAAGGGGTAGGAGATGGAGCTGCAAAATGAACTACCTTGGTGGTTTGAACTGGGATAATGGGTTTTAGGGAAGAATCTCCTGCAGCTTGGCCAGGGCTGCAAGAGCATAAAATTTGATGGACATTATTCTATTTCCCCTTTTTCAGTGAGTGCTAGCCTAATTAAAACAAAGAAATTAACTTTGCTGCAGAAGTGTCTCATTGACTCAGTCAATTTTGTTCCCACTCTGCTCCAAAATGAATCAGAAGATACATCTGCGGGGGACATTTGAGGGAAGTGTAGAAAAACCCAGTGAATTAGCTTTTTAAACTTTTCCTTAGAAACGGTTTCCCCCTCGCCTCTAGGACTCCAACAACTTGGGTAAAAATTCCTCTTTGTGCCACAGACAATTTGGCACCCATT